TGGAGCCTGCTTTGGATTCTGTGTCTTCCTCTGTCTCTCTGCTCTTCCCCCACTTGTGCTCTGTCTCTCAAAAAATAAATAAACATTAAACAAATTTTTAATTAAAAAAAAAAAAAACCAGAATACACTTCCTACGAAAAAAAAAGGAAAAGGAAAGGTCATCTTTGCCTGGCGGGCGGGGATCTCCTTCTCACTACCCCTCGCCTGGCTCCCGGTTCTGTCCATGGCACTCTTCTAGCCAAAACACAGAGTGGACATCCAGGCTGGGCACATCAACAGCTCACCATGCCTTCTCATGGCCTTTTGCATTTGCTCTGAGGCCTGAGAACTCAGCCCTGCTCACCCTTCCAGGAGAGAGAAAAGAGCACAAGCTTCTTCCTTCCAGCGGGGCCAGCTGGTCGAATTTCACTGATGGCCAGACTGAGCCTCAGAAAATACTCTTCACCTACTACGTGGTGACACAGACTACCTTGTTGCACTTCCAGATGTGATTGTGGTTACCACAGAGGCACTGGGCCTTCATTTTAATCTAGATTTTGGTTTCTGAAAAGAGTACTTTCTAAATGAAAAGTGGGAAACCAACTCTTGAGTAAGCAGAAAAACCACGTCCAGTCATCTACAGGAGCTCATATTTCTCAGCTCTGAGAATTTCACTTGACCAGTTAGGTAAACGACCCAATTTCAGTGGACCATTTGCTTGCACTGAAGGTAAAAGGCAAATGCCATCTGGCTCCAGGGTGGCAGTTTAGCATGGCAGCTGAAGCGAGGGCACTGGGGTTCAAGTCCAGGCACTGACACTGACTGAGCTCTGGGTGGGGAGCAATGTCGCTTAGTCGCTCTGAGCCTTAGGACATTGGAAGACAAAGGAAGCGCTAAGCTGAAATTGCCCAGAGCCCTGCCTGGTACACAGTACGTGCTGGGCTGGGATCCACCACCTCTGAGGACAGGTGCGTTTCCAAATTGAGGACATTTGGGACTATAGAAAGATCATGTGGTACATATACCAAATATCACACAAGCCTCCGGTAGAACCTGGGGCAGCATTTCATTACTTTTGCAGAGAAATACAAATATTTAAGTCCACATCAATTTTTGTCCCCAAATAAATTTTGATGCCCAACTTACCAAAATACAATAGGCTTTCAGAGCTTTTGGGGTTTGAAATTACAGCTAAGGGATGTGGGCTTGGAATTACTAAGGGAGCGACTTTTTGGAGTTGGGGCATCCAGCCCTTCTGTGTCGGATTTTAATGACCCCAGATCTCCTCACTGTATTCCCCACCCTACTCCCAAGGCTGGGTGACGTCTCTCCGTTTTTAATCAAGATGAATTTTGTTTCCGTAATTTAGGGCTCCTTCTCCCTGAAGACTTATTGGAGATACATGCAAAAATCAGTGTTAGAACTTCAATTTTACCACCAACCATGGGTGAATGGAACCTCCATTTGCTCAGACACGAAAACAGGTCCATTGAGGAGTTGGGGGTGGTGGGAGGCGGCCCAGCTCGAGGGCCCTCAATGCACATGGCTTGGAGAGCTGGGAGCGCAGCATCCTGGGGAGGAGGGATGTGGATAGCGGCCAGTTGGAATAAGAACAAAAAGGCCTGAAATCTGATCCTTGAGGCAGGCTGAGGCACAGGGGAAGGGGGCAGCTGTGGAGAAACAGACCAAAGAGGCACATGATATTGTTTGGACAGATTTTGAGAAGGGTACGAGGGGAGTCCAGCTCGACTGGAGGGAGGCTGGATGAGGCCCCTCCTGGGTTTGCTACACTTTCTACCTTTAGTGATAAGCCTCCCATCCGCTTAGCTGAGGCAACGATGAGCGCCCAGCAATTGCAGAGACAGTGGGCAAATTGAGAGAACTCGCCATCTTCCCTCCTCGAGGGGCTGGGCCTGCAATGAGGATCTGGGCAGCTTGGTCCAAAGTGGGGCCTTGGGGAAGCCCTCTCACTGCCCTCAGCCATAGGTCCCTCTTGGCCTTGGCAAACGGAGCCCTCTAAAGTGCAGCACTCCCACTGCCCAGGGCCTGATGGAGACAGCACAAGGGAGGGGACCCCAGGGCCTTGGCAGGGTGTAGGCCCCAGGACTGGGCTTGAGACCAGGTTCAAGAGAGCCCAGGCTTTGGAACACTTGGGTCCAAATCTCGGCTCTGCTACTTTTTAGTTTGGCAAGCTATTTTCCCTCTCCAGGCCTCAGTCTCCCCATCTATAAAATGGAGATACTAGTATACCTATCTAAGGGGGTCACTGGGAGGATTAAATGAAGTGAGGTAAAAGTGCTTGGCATAGGGCCTGGCTCACAACAACGCTCCATACATGTTAGCTGCCACTACATCCAGAAAGTTCCTGAAACTTAGAACACCAGTAAGTAACCCAGTAGAATGGGTTAGACTGCCTCAGTGTCCAGGTTCCTCTCCAGGTCTTGGGGGGGGGTTGGGGGAGATTAGTCAGGGAGGACATTTGCGAGGTGGCTGAAGAGAAGCCAAGTGGTGGACAACACTGGTCGGTGACCCCAGAAAGGAGCAGAGCAGCTGAGTCAGGCCATAGCTTTCTGAGCACTCCTGGCCAGGGAGAAGGGGGGAACGTTGGCTGCTCCTCCCTCCCAGCGCAGACCGAAGAAGTGCTATGAGCTGGAGGGGACGGGGCAGGGGATGGGCTAAATGGGGGATGGCCATTGAGGAGGGCACTTGTTGGGATGAGCACTGGGTGTCACATGTCAGAGATGAATCACTGGGTTCTACACCTGAAACCAATATTACACTGTATGTTAACTAACTTGAATTTAAATAAATAAGTTTCTAAAAAATGAAGTGCTAGGGGCCGTGGGGAGGGTGGTGCAGTGAATGCTGAGTAACAAATGGGCCAACCCCAGGACTGTGGCTGACAGGCAGAGAGAGCAAACAGCAGAGAGAGCAGAGAGCGAAAGCGGAAGAGTGGGAGAGCAGA